AACCTCTAGACAGCTGTTCCTGTCCTCTGAAATGCGTTTCAAGCTCGTGAAACGATGCTGTGTGCGATCCCGAACTCGACCGCCACACTTCGACAGTTTTCCGCCTTCCAGATGTCGTCTTCTGTGTTGTCGGTTGGGTATATCTCACAGTGAAAACAAATTAACTTTGTTTAAATTAATATATACCGACCGTGCAATACCATTCACATAAATACTAAGCTTCCATCGCCAGCTCCTTTTATTTCCCTACGCCACGCCCCTCGGTACGTCTGTATGCAAATTTTACACTTTACCTTACCGTGATTGGTCTTCTCAACGACCTTTCCCTCCGTTGCAAATGCCTTTTTTTGTCGTTATGTTAGTTTTTCAATTTCGTCCTTAATTTTTGTACACTAATGTAATTATTAGTGAACTCCACTCTCTGCTCTTTAACTTTCAAATCAGATAACGCAGTTCCTTTCAAAATCGCTTCAGCAGTCGGGGCTTTGCCTCACTCGCTCTTTTTTTCCCAAACATTTTAATACTTTTTTTAATACCTTGATAATTTTTTACACCTTGAAAAACTAAACTCAGTGGGACGACAGCCTATAGAGGGCCAAGGCCTACTGTCATCTCAGTTTTCTTGACCTTGGGCTGGGTGCAGATGTACCGGTCAGGAGGTCAGCCGAACGCGGAAACCTCAGTGTTTAGTTCTCAAGCATGATTGATACTCATTAACTCATTTATCTTCCCACTGAAGGGATGAAAGGCAGAGTCAATGCCCGGCCCGAGGATCGAACCCAGGACCTGTGGCACAGGAGAGCGCAGTGCTACCCCTCAGCCACCAGGCCTCTACACCTTGAAAAGGTGATTCTAACTATTTTGTAACCGTTGTTGAGCAGATGACAAAATTTTGGGTTTACGACTACTTATTTTAAACTCCGTAGCCTTGAAATTTAGAACCCAATACAGAGGGTAAGGGAACTCCGTTTCCGTATCAAGTATTGGGGTGCAATTTGCCTTCATAGAGGGCTTCTTGATGAGACTAACCCGCATTTGCATTATACAGAAAAGAAGACTATGAGAACCTCCCACGGTTAGCCTGTCGGCAAAGGAACTCCAACTCATGATCCGTTTACCACTGAGGATATTTCACGTCAGCACTGTGGTCGGTGCACACTGTGGTCGGTGCAAGCCGGATGCGGATTCGTATCGACCAGCCATTGCTGGGATGCGAACCGGGTTCACCTCATTGTAAGGCAAAGGCTCTATATTCCCTGAGCCATTGCGGCTCTGTTACATTATTTTATTTTATAACCGTCGTTGAGCAGCCGACCCAAATTTGGGTTTACGATTAATGTTCAACTCCGTAGCCTTTTAATTTTGAACCAATCCAGGAGACAAGGAAATTACTGGATCAGATTTATTATGAGAACATGGTGGACTTTGGGACTCGACAGATTTAACGTGCATCAGTCATCATTTACTACACGGAGTCTTCGGCCGACGGGGATCGAACCAACGACCTCTTGGACAAGGGACCATGCTATCTCGGCCCTGTAACATTATTTTATTTCATAACCGTCGATGAACAGCCGACCCAATCTTATGGGTTTACGACTGCTAATGTTCAACTCCGTAGGCTTGTAATTTTGAACCCAATCCAAAAGACAAGGGAACTCCTGGATCGAGTATTGGGAGAAATTTGCCTTCGTGGAGAACTTTTGGATGGAGCTAATCCGCATTTGCGTTACACGGAGAGGAAGACCACGAGAACCTCCCACGGTTAGCCTGACGGCAAGGGGACTCTAAATTCATGATTCGTCTATCACTGAGGATATTTCCCGTCAACACTGTGATCGGTGCAAGCCGGATGTGGAACATGTAACATTATTTGAATTCTTCTTTTTTTATAAAATGAGTTTATATTCGAAAATGGGAGCTTTATGACAAATAGGCTTTTCAACCTCCGCACACCATAAACGAGAAATCCGATCCTTTGATAGTCCGAACGTTATGACATTCGTAAATATTCCTACTGCGCAGTAACGTTGTGACATCTTTCTTATTATTCCCCACTGCGCAGTAACGTTGTGACATCTTTGTTATTATTCCCCACTGCGCAGTTTATGTTCATTACTTCAGACTTCTAGATTGAACCGTACGTGCCATAATCGATGTGCCAAATAGTCCGGAAGTTATTTAAGCTTTAAATAGAGAGAGAGAGCAAATTTTGACTTATACATTATATATGTCTGACTTTGCTATCCAGGCAATTGAGCTATTGATCCTAAAATATTTTTTAATACATCAATAAGAAAACTTTAGTTAAACAAATCTACACTTACCCACTTATAACTTTTATACTGCTAGCAGTGAACTGAAGCGTTAATGAACTTATTTATTGTTCATCAACAGACGTTGTAACTGCTAAAGAAAAAGAAAATCATACTAATACTTTTCGCTAACCCAAATTAAGCAGTCACATAAAAATTCGCATTCAATATAAAATATGTCAACTAATGTTCACTAATTTAAATTACATTAAGGACTACTATTATCAATCATTATAATCCATACTAAAATATATACCACTAGGATTATCAAAAGAATATTTTGTCTCGAAAAATTAAATTGTGATTATAATTTGAAGAATTATAGATTAGAAGAATTATAGATAGAGGATGAAATTAAAGATAAAACTTGTCCGATTTTTCGAGAAAATTAGAAGGGGAAAAACATGTTAAATAATTGTATTCGATTCATGTTTTTAATCCTGCCTTACTCAGCAGTAATTCGTCAAATTTCGTAGCTTTTTATTCCTTATTTAAAGAAAAATGTGCGATTGTCCAATGCATGTATTCAATCTGCCATCCTCAATAGTGATTAGCCAGGTGAAGATGATATTTTCAATTATTCTTCATTTTAATAAACGATTTGTGTTTTTTAAGGTATGTTTATTCCAGACAATTCAGATTCATTAAATCATATTACAGGCCACGATTATTGTACACCTATACACCATGCTGACAAAAGTCACTAGAATCTCAAATGTTGATATTTTTTCTAATTCCTTAAGAAACTCTGTAACTTTAGGCATATGAAGGTCATGTGATAACTCAAACTTCTGAATGGAAATTCAGTAGCATGAAGGCTCAGGGAACACTTAATGCCAAGGAAAAAAAAAGCCATTTCCCACAATATTTCTTTCTGTATTAAAAATACCCTTTGTGACGACACAAATATTCCATGTGACGTTTTTGGTGTTCAACTTGTAGACTTTTTGCGTGGTTAGAAATAACGTTAAATTATGAAGGACTATAGAAAATTGTAATAATACGGTGAAAAAATAAATAAATAATATTTACTATTAAACTTATAAGAAAAAGTCGCAGTCCAGAAAAATAAGCTATTGATTGAGTTGAAACTTAAGGTGATGAAATGGCCAGTTTTGTTTCTGAAATAAACAATAAGTTAATTTCAAATATATTCAAAAGTTAATTTTTCTTATTTTTTACTTTAACTAATACATAATTCTGCACAAAAGTGCCACGACAGGGAATCTCTTCACCTGTAAACTAATCAAAGAACGAAAGTAACCAAAAATTGGAGGACAGTCGCCAAACAGAGGGACAGTTGAAAGAAACTCCTAGAGAAAGCCAGGGCCCATCCAGAGCTGTCGCACCACTGTTGAAGAAGAAAACCGAAAAAATTACGAATTGTCCATTCATAGTCTATAAAGAAGAAAAGGCGATGTTCAAAAGCGTTAGTATCTCTGGAATACTTTTAGTTCATTTTCTGAAATAAGGAATGTCAAATATTCAATGTCGTAAAGAAGTGATACAAATGAGAATATTTATTTCTTAAGATTTTCATTTTGCTCTTCTTTGCTTGAAAACGATAAAAGCTTGCTCTTCTTTGTTGAATTAAAAAACTGGGTAGCAACACTTTTGCCAGGATTTACCATATTTATAAGTTTTCCATTTAAAATACTTTGGATGGTTATTATTATACAAATCCCATTACTGCAGGAAAATATTGGAACTGTTTATTATTAAAATAAAAGTTGAAGAAATATGTAATTATTTAAAATAAAAAAGGTAAAAATCTCATTTAAAGCAAGACTAGAAGTTTTTTGTAAGAAAATATTTTTTTTCCTGATAAGGCCCTAAATGAATAAGAAATTTTCGAAAAATTTACTGTGGTTGCGAAAACAGCAGTAAACATACTGCTGCAAAAATTACGATAAATTATAAATTTTTGTCATATAGTTTTCAGTGATTCACACACATGAAGTTAAAAATGTGGCCTTTTTGCACAATTAAAAGATAAACACATAAGAGTTAAGGTATTTTTTTACTTCTTAGTTTTATTTAAATTATCCCCTTTTGTCTGATTTATACTTAACTCTAATTGGAAAAAGTAAAAATATAATTTTGTTAAATGACTGGTAATTATTTAATTATATTTTGAATAAATTTAAGTCCGTAATATTTTAACGGAAACAATTCTGATCGATTTAATGAGAGAGCAATTAGTATAGTTATATTATTATAGCAATTAGTAATGGTAATATTTCTTGAAAATTTCTTATGCTTGTAAAACATTGTATACTATTTTTTTCCCGCAGGTAAGAAAGACATTTCCTGCCCTTACGAAGAACATTTTCATTTATTTTTAAGAGGTGGGCAGTTGGTCATATCGCCCTTAATGTAAGTCAAACTTCTATGGAGGAGAATAAGGTTTGTACCAGTTTTAACTATTTTGAAAAACACGCAAAAATAATATGAATGTTTAATAAATTATAATTACATAAAAAATTTCTCCACTAAATGTGCTATAAAATAAAAGTGAGAATAAAAACGTTTTAATAATTTTTTCTTGTAAATGGTTCAAACATCCAAATTTAGGACTGAGTCAGCTTTCATCCTGAAATGGCCTCTCAACTCTAAAATTGTTTCAAACAAAGAAATATTGTTTTTGTAATAAAAGAAATTTTTTAAACACAAATAAAACAGGGCAAACAGAAATAAATATTTAATGACAAAAAATATAATGCTCAAATATCAATAATTACAAATAATTCAGTTTTCCCTTCATTTTCATGCACCTGCATATTTGAGTAAGTAATAGCTTTCACTTCAGTACCCTACAAAAAAAAAGTATATGGGTTATATTATACAAAAGTTATTTTCAGGTAGAGACAACAAAAAATAAAATTATGTAAGAAATTTCGAATTTTTTTGTTAGAAAATATAAGAGAAAGTATTAGACAAGAAAACATAACAGTAACAGATCATATTTAAAAAATACTTAAGTACTTTTTATTAAAATGAGGGAATGATAACTTGGCTCAGGAATAATAGTATTAGTTATAAACATGTTTAAAATAATAATTTTAATGAAGTATTTATCGGTCCTTTACTGCTTTAAAAAATATCGAAGTGAAATAAAAATATCTTTTTTAGCTAATCTTTAAAATCAGAATCTATCTTTCCCAAAAGTGTCATTTTTTCAGTGAGAAAATAATAAAAGTGACGAAATGAGAAAATAACGTTATTTGCTTTGGAAGTTTATACCCAAGTAACAATATATGGCCATAAACTATCTCATAAGGGGAAATTAGAGCATCTATTGATATATATTTAGAAAATAAATTAACTTCATAAATTACAAAAGTGCCATTCTTTCACAATGAGAAGTGAGGGAATGAGAAAATAATAATTATTTGCTTCGAAAGTTTATTCCCATGAACAAAATAAAAATATCATTATACATTCTTTAACTATCCCATTAGAGGAAATTAAAACACTTATTAATATATTTTTAGGAAATAAATTAACTTCATTAATTTAAATGAGGGAATACGAGTGTCACCTAAATACTCCATTGTTTCTTTTAAATGCTTAAGAGGATCGCCCAATTAGCTGAAATTTGTTTTGCAGTTTTATCAATACATGTTTTTAGAACATGTGCACTGTTTCTACCCAAATAATAATGCTATCAATCTGAATCGCTATGAGTAAGAGAATGATATGAATTATAATTTTCAAACTTTTTATAAAATAAAAAAACAAATAAAGCCATTACAAGACCGAGCATTTTACCTAATACATCGAAACAACACTACAAGTATTGATTTTAGGGGCTGAACAAGAAAACTAAAGGTATTTCAGATAGAACAATGTTTTTTGTGTTTGTAGGTGGTAAGAGTTGCAAGTGAAGCAATGAGATTTCATAAGTATAAAAATCAATAAAGAATACTTATTTTAAATAATATTTCAAACTCATAAGATAATGTAATAAAGATGTCTTCTAAATATCTATTGAACAAACAGCTTGTTCATTTTTCTATAAAAAAAAAAAAAAAAAAAAACTGAAATATCCTTTATTTACATCATTTTAACTGTTTACAGAGAATTATCCACATATTCAGAACAAAGTTACAATTTAATGATAAAAAAAATTTCAAAATGAAACTAACTTACTTGTGGATGTTTATCTAAATCAAATATTTCTCCATACCTGGAAGAGGAAAAATAAATAAAAGATTCATCAATAAGTTTTTACTAAAATTCAATAACTACTTCTGCTTAAAAAATATATTTTTTTTCTGAGAAATACAGCAATCTTTCAGAAGATAAATTTTATTTCATTAAACAAAATATGCAGTTTACTCTCTTTCTTAGAAAACTAAGAAAAAAAAAATGAATGCTAAAGTAAAATAGGCTTCAAAAAGTTAAACTAATGTAAACTTTCCCCATAAATCTTACATAAAATAAATTACTCATAGCAATAAGATATCTTTATACATTTACTATAAATATTAGCTCTCATTATCAATAAACAAGCTATACACAGTTTAACATTTTTAATAGAATAAATATGACACTACAAATGTAACATCATTAATTAGATGAATATTTTAATGAGTAACAAATATTTCTATAACAAACATTTTTATAATCAAGAAATAAATAACTGCAATAGTAAAATAAACTTTTTTGATTAAAAATTCTTAATATTTCAAAAACAAGTCCCTCAGACCTTCAACAATTTTTCACAATATTAAATGAAATAAGTAAAATGACTAATTAATAAAAAACGCACTCATTAAAAAACAGCAAGCATATGTTTAAAAAATTTTATGTTAAGTTTTTAATAAAAGTACAAAAAATAATTTTACGTAAATAAAAAAAAATCTTACCCTCTAGCTCTCACTTTAAAGTTTGCACGATCAAAACTCAGAATTTTCACTTTCTGAAAAATAGAAAAATCTCCTTTTTATTCCATGATTATTAAATTTAGAAAAAGAAAAGAAGAAAAAGACTTGGTTTGGGTTATGGATGTCATAAATTACATGGGAATTGTTATTTACAAGAGAAGTGTAGGAAAGAGTCAAAATTTAAGAAATCTTTGAAATAAAGATTTTCAAAATATTATGAATATTTTTTTAAATATTATGAAATATTTTAAAAGTATTCAACACATCTTTAACAATACTATATTTATGCAAAATATTAAAAAAAATATAAGTTTAGGTTACATAAAATAAAATTTTTTTAGATTTTTTATGCTTAAGATATGTGCTTTTAGCAATGTATTTGATATGATTTTTTAATTAAAATAATTAATTCAACTTCACAATTTCAAATAACTATTTTAATGGGATCATTTAAGTGAATGAAAATGTATCAAAATAAATATATTATTTTAAAAAAATATTTAAAAATGTTCAACAGATTTATAAAATAAAATAAATGTAACCATTGATTAACCATAAAATTCTGTTAAAAAAATTTTTTCTTCCTTTTTTTTCTGTGTAAGCAAAGAAAATAGATTAATTATGTAAAAATATAGAATTAATAAATTATACCCCACTTATGACTGAAATTGTACAACCTAGTTGTCATAGCACTGTTATATTTACAATTAGACTATAATCTTAGAAGTAATTTTAACAATGTAATATTTTACAACATATGTACACTTTTTATCAGTCACCAAAACATTTTATTCTATGCTGTTTATGTTAAAAAGTAATTCCCGAAATTGTTTTCAACAGTGCATGTAATGCATGAAAGTATTAAGTGGGTAAAAAAAAACTCTGTCATACTCTAGCAATAAAGTAAGGTTCAGCACTGAATATGTACAGGAATTCATCAAGAAAATGGAATAGTAATGACAGCATATCATGACCTGAAATGCAAAAGTATAAGCTTTTAATAAAATTAATAAAAACTATCTGTTATGCAAGAAAACTACAAAAAGTTTTTGTGAACATATAAACATAAACAAATTAATAAAGGAATTTTGTTTTTAAAAATCATAAATTATTTTTCAATTTTCTACATTTGTTACAAAATTCAGAATGTATATATCTGGAATAAAATTTCTTGCTATAGATTATTTAACATGAAAACAATTTCAATAAAAATTATACATCAGACAAAATATTTTTATAATTTATTTGCAGATTATGTATTTTTGCTACGAATGTTTATCATTATTAATTATTTTTTTAGTTACAATTTAGATATGCAAGTTTAATGGAGTAAAAACTTCTTTTTAAATCGTATCGGGACAATTTAAAGTAATAATTATTATTTGAAAAACAAATATTTGTTAGTAATGCTATTGTGCATTTGTATAAAATTTTGTTTCATTTTATTTGAATTAAAAACTTTAAATTAAAATTACATTTTAAAAGGTCCTTTTTTTTTTTGCAAGTTTTTTACAGACTTTTAAGAAAAATTACCTTCAGCTTCAATGTCTTGACTCATAGTAATATCAACTGTTTCTATTTCAGTCATGTATCCAAACATAGAAACAGCAATCTAAACAATAAAAAAAAATGCAGTTATTGCAGAGAAATAATCAAAAATACAGTAATTAGATAATGACCTAAGAAACTTTAAAATAAAAAGGCAACAAGAATTTCATAGTACAGTAACTCAATAAAATGGGCAAACAGAGACCTTTACTGCATTAAATTAGAAACAATACACATTGGTGTTACTTAAATAATGAACCACTTTTTAAAATCAAATCTGCAAAAATAGAGTCACAATATAAAGGCATGCTAAACTCATGATTTCCATTTTATCAAAATCAAGCGTTTGGCGGGCATAAGTTTTGAACAGGAAACAAAAGAAGGAAAAAAAGAACATTTTTCTTGTATGAACTTTTACTTAATATTCTAAGTTTTAAAAAAATTGAATGAAATAGAATCTGCCACCCACAAACAAATAAAATAAAACTACTGGTTGAAGGAAAATCAAAAAGTCAAGAGTTGAAAAATAATGAAATAAGAAGAGAGAGCGTAAAAGAATATAAATAAAAAGTTATTTTAACCCACTGGTGATTTAGCAAATAGTCAAAATTGGGAGAATATTTTTCTCCAATATAGTGATATCCTATCTCGTAACATGGGAAAACTGATTTTGCTATGATGAAAAGACTGCAGGTTAAATTATAACCTTTTATGAGCAGAACTGTGATTGGGTTAAACAATAAAAAGTTATTCAATGGCACTATTCATCATTCATTTTTACAGATAAGCATGGCGAAATCAGCCAATGGAGGGTTAAAAAAATGCAAATAAACTAAAGAATAAATTGAATATCTTACATATTCAATGAAGTAAACCATATTAAATTAAAAATATTCATCCTATAAATTATTTTATCCAAAAGAAATGGAACTAGAATATCAATGAACAATTTTAAACCTAATTCCTGCACAATTAAGATTAAACTATTAACTATGAATAAAGGTTGAGAATGAATATATTTTTACATTCATTTTGAGTTGAGTTTTCTAAATAGCAAAATGCATAAAAGACAATATTTTGCCAAAGGTATTTGAATCTATTATTTTCCTTTCATTTTATTAAATTAAAATGCTGCTCATATTTAATCAAAATGGCCACCAAAAGTAATTAAAATATTTAAAATATAACTATAATAAATTAGTTTTTTGTTTATTTATAAAGTTTAACTCTGCATTTTTTTTTTACTAAGTAAGGGTATGCTGTTTAATAAAATCTACCACTTTTTGAAATCAAATGACTGTAGAAAGAAAGTGGTTTTAATAAGTAGGGAGCACTGCATTGATTATTTACTTTACGGAATAAACCAGTAAGAAAAGCAGCATATTAAAATATTTTTGCAAACATTATAATAAAATGAACTTTTTTTAAAGCTACTTATCTTTTTATTTTTTAATATAAAAATCTAAGAATGAGTGCCAGAGATTATAGAAACAGCTGAATATAAATATTTTTAGTCACAAGGTTCAATATTATCAGATTATAATAACAAAACAATTTAACTATCATATTCATACTTGTTCAAAGGCTTCTTCAATAGTTGAGCCCCCTTAGATAAAATAAGTTAAAGAATTCACAATAGCAACAAGACAAACAATATTCATTAAAGTAAAATGTATCACAGCATAAGAAAACAAATAAATAAAATAACATTATAAAGGATACAGGAATGTAACCTGAAAATAAAAACAATATATGATTATTAACAAAATAAAACATTTATTACTTTTATTTTTAAATTCATGTAAAAAAAAAAAAACATTTAATTAAGAACAGACTTTTACATATGTTAAATATGCAAGAAAAAATACTAATAAACTTAACAAAATCTACTTACTGAACATCAGCAGGATGATCCAAATCTAAAATTAAAATTAATTTAGTTAAGATGCAATTAAACACAAGTCAAATAATTTATATATTTATACACAGACATTGAAAGACAAATTATTCAATGTTTGAAGATATCAATAATTTAAAAATAATAAAAATTTAATTTATGGAATAATTTTTGACAGAGGTTAGTATTAAACAGCAGAGGTCTTAGATGTGATAATTTAAAGCTTTTGTCTAGATTAAAAGCACAATTAATAAATATACAAAATACTGGGTCAAAGGAGATCAGTAACTTTAAAATCCACAATATCAAAAGAAAAAGCAATTATGGCCTCATTGTTTCTGTCACAGAATCTAGGATTTAAGTTTTGAAAGTTTTCTCAATAAAATATATTGCTCCTTTTATGGTAAATATTTAATTTTAAACCTCTTTACTTATAGACAATGATTAAATTTTAATTTATATAATGGTTAAATTTTTTAATTACAAAAATTTAAATACTCAATTTGCTAAATCACCTGGTTTTAGAAATTGTTAAGTACTTGTTTTTAAGGGGAGATTTCCGTATTGTGATCTGTGGCAGAATAATCGCCAAGTCTTGAAAACTTCCCATGATAAATGAAAGAAAAAATCATCACAGAAAGGGACCAACTCGAAAGGTACAACTCGTAGCCACCCATTGGCAAATATCTACATGTATGTTTTTTTTAAAAATTGCAAGTTTAAAATCTATTTGGCACCTTGGTAATTGTAGTTGACGTGCCAGATCATGATACAGAAATATCCCCGTTTTAAAAAAACCATAGTTAAAATATATACAGAGTGAAATCTTTTGATTATAGGTCCTCGGGATCAAAAACTAAATTTACTTGATTTCAACCCTGGTATACAGTGTTGATTTACATATAAGTATATAATAAATATAAATGTATATAAGATATACAGAGGATATATGCATAAGATATATGTCATATATCATACATAGATTTTTAATAAAATAAATACTGTATAATATGAAAATGAAACCATGTATATTGGGAGAAGAGCACTTTTAAAATTTAATAAAAAGTTTTTTGGCAATAGTACGTGTGCATACATAACTGCCCTAAAATTTCTATTGGTCTCTAAAACTACATTTCTTTTATGACACATGGTTACACGGTATTAATTAACTTTATTGAAAATCAAAATGAAAGCCGTTGGTTCCTTTCTTTTAATCTAAACAACTAGTAAACAATATAACTTAATTATCAGCAATCTTCAATGAATGTAATTTAGGTAAGTCAATAGATTTAATGAAAGTTACTGAAAAAAAGAAAGAATCTTAATTCTGGGTACTCAAGAAAATAATGGTGGATTGAAACCTACATTCATATTTAACTTCAGGTATTTGCAGTTCTTCATCAGAAAAGTCTTGAATTGGTGGATCAGGATCAAATCCATCATCAATATCATCTGCATCACCGGCTTCTGCCATTTTATTATTTTTTTTTCTAAAGGAGAGTTCTTCAAACGTCAAAATAAAATTTTCAGTGTTGTTTACACACAATAAAAACTGGTTGCCAATTTTCAATATTATTTTCTAAAGTTGGAGTGAAAGTGGCTGTGATCTGCTCGCTTGCATTCTCTTTGTTTTTTAATTATAAACTAATTTTATGTAACTGTAACTGAAAGAAAAAATGTAAACACGCACGTTGTTTTGTTTATTTTCCTCACAGAAAGGGTTTCCTCATGTGATAGAAATAAAATTTTCATCTGAAATCATTTGCATTTAAGGTTAAAAAGTATAGATTTTTTTGGTATAGACTATTACTTGCAATTCATTCCTTGAATTCAATAAAATTGATTAATTTGATGAATAATGAATTTGATTGTTTTAAAACTAAGCAGAAACTATTCGCTTTAAAATTTTAAATATAGGACACTGATGCATTTTGTAATTTATTAATTTGTTTATATTCGTGTCTAAAATTCATTCTAGAACTGAATTAAAGGAATTGGTTCATCAATTAAACGTATTGATCATTCTATCGCGAATTAAAATTGTTATTCGCATAAGTTCACTTGACTTGGAATAGGGATTCTCGCTCTCTCTTATGCATAGTACTCAGTTTCAGAACTTTTAAGGGGAGGGGGAAATTTGAAAAAAAAAGTTCCCTCTTAAAAGTTCTGAAACGCTTTATTGATACTTCCTTTAATGTATACAAATTTACATTAAACATTGTGCAAACCACTATGTGTCCAAATTTGCTAAATATCTCTGAGGCTTTAAATATTTTACATTCATTTGATTTTTATCCTTATAATAATAGGGTTGTCTAATAATAATCTTATGAAGATTTTCGCATCAGTATCTACACCAAACTAATTGCTAAATTTTGATGACTTCTTGGCAGTGGCCCACCAGAAATTAAAAAATACATCTCAGAAGGTTTCCAAATTGAAGTAGCCAGCCTTTGGGAAAAGCTTGAAATTTTTTTTATACAAGTTTCGCTAGTTCAAATCTCTTTGTTGCTTTGGTAATTATAGTTGGCATGAATAGATATTGATATGGAAATATCCCCATCTTTATCATTATTATAAATACAACTTAAAATGTTATCTTTCAGAAAATGGAACCATTACCAGATGAAGCTGTTGGGCAAACACTTGGTAAAATGTAAGTGTAAAAATTGAACTTTTCTTTGGGTGTCAGAAATTAAGTAAATGTCTCTGGGCAAAACTTCATCCTTAAAACCATGACTTGGTCTTTAATGTAGAAAAAGAAACTAAAATTAAAACACCAATTAATTTTCTAAAGAAACCAATTAGTTCAGATATTGAAAGCATGTAATATCCATCTGGAAATTCATCAGAAAATAAATTTTTTAATCAATCTATTTTGTTTAGTTGGTTTAAAAAAAAAAAACATTGAGGAACACATACTGTAAGATTGAATTCTATGTTTTAGATGTTATATAAAATTTTAAACACACTAAAGAGCTGTTTTCTAATGAAATATTTTTTTCTACTATACTTTCAATTATTCTATTTTAGATTATGTTGCCAGTGTGGTACCCTTATTGATCCAAATCCAGCCAACATGTGCATACCATGCATCAAAACTCAAGTTGATATATCTGAAGGCATCCCAAAACAAGTGATAATTTACTTTTGCAAAGGTTGCGGCAGGTAGACTATTCATCTATAATTGCATTGTCTGTTTTCTTGTTTACAATAAAAAAATATTTCTGTATTCATATATACAAGTTTGTTCCTAAATGTTGAGGTTTGATAGAATTTAGAGTAACTATGGATGTATATATATTTTTGTGCTATCCTTCTTTATTTTGTACTAGCCGCCTAAGGCGGCCAGCTGTCCGCCACGCTGAAGGTTTTCACAAATAAAGTTTTTTAAAACATAGCAGGAAATCTGAAGATTAGTGGACAATTAAAGTGTTCCTGTCCTGCAATTTTGTCTTCATATCCAGTTCTGCTGCAGATGTGTTATAGCTCTTGAGGATGTTTGAAATTATATAGCTACAACGCTTAAGAAAAAAAAAACTAAAATGCTAAATACATGAAAAGAACACGAAAACGAATAAATTTTTTATGGTATCAATTTCTATTTCTATATAATTTTTTATGGTATCAAATTCTATTTCTATATCTGTTACGTCAAGCACTCAGGTATTATAATTTGATCTAGTTGTGCTTGTATAATTTTGATCTAGTTGCGCTTTCTACGTCATTTTGTTAACATCGTTTGGTTTGTTATTTAACATCGTTTGGTTTGTTATTTCTAAGTTAACTTTCAAAAAATTGGCTGGCATCAGCATTTTTATTCTTTAAGTTGTTTATTTTTTCTTTTGGAATTCGTTCCTTTTTAGCGAAATGTTTTTCAACCTAATCGAATTCTTTGCCGACTGTTCTCTGTATATATAAAGAAAATAAAGTAAATATTTTTAAAGTGTTGTGAAAAGAATTTTTAGTTGTACAAAGTACTACAATATCGCTATAAAAATTATCGTCTTCGCTTAAGAAAAAAAAAAAAGAGCGTGGAAAGAAGAAGAAAAACTTATTATAACAATTATGAACAGCGACAAATATATCAAAGCGAAGCGTTCTATTTACGTATCGAATATGTTGCCACATTTTTAATACAAAAGTTAAACTTTTCTCCACTTTAATAAATGTAAACTAATGCGAACTTTACAATTAAATTATTAATTCCTTCGTATATTATTGGTTTAAGTTGTCGAAAATTAATATTTCAATTGTGAGGTTCGCATTAGCATACATTTATAAGAGTGGGGAAAAGTATATGCATTTTTTAATAGTTTTTTGAATATGGCTCTTTGAAGACGAAAAAGCAGACGAAAAGCATAGACTTACAAAATGACTGATAACTAAATAACTAATCCAAATTTTTGAAAAAGAAAAAAAATACTTCTTCATTATGTCAAAACACAATTATGTGCCGAGTTTCGTGCCTGGGCGGGCTTCTGGGGCGATATATTGTGATTACAGACACACACACACACAGCCGCTTTTATTATTATGTATAGATTATCTAATTTTCAACATGACAAGGTTTCATAAGCCATTCTTTGTGCACTAGAACATTCAAGCTTGCGTATGCATTTGAAAAAATGAAATCCTAAACAGGGCCGGATTAAATGCATGCAGGGCCCTAGGCCATTCTAATTTTTGGGGTCCTTAGATTAAATTTTTTTTCTCGTGTATTTTTTATTTATTCAAATATAAAAGTATTTATATATCTTTTCATTTAAGAAAGCGAATTTAAAATAAAAATAAATAATGATAAATTAAATTTTACTTTATTTTGTTAAATTGGAACTGAAAAAATTATCGTATTTTATTAATATATATTGTTTTTCTTAATTTTGTAAAATTTATTTAAAAAAATTTTTTTAAGGGGGCCCCGGGCCATAGCCTAGTCTGGCCTAATGGGTAATTCGGCCTTGATCCTAAATGTTAAATATTATTTTATCAGTTCTCCTTATTTCTATTTAACGGCAAGGGGTTAAATGGTGATATTTGCATACCGACCCATGTGTATGAAATTATCCAGAGTCATTCATGCAATTAAACACCCTAATATTTAAAAAGTTGTAAGTTTAATAAAGTTCTGATTTTTATAAAGTCTTTTCAATATCAGTTTATAGATACATTAGTTCAAGTTATTAAATATGTTATTACATAAGTTTGGCTTCTTCAATATTTTCTCTGCTGTCTATTTAGATTATCAACTTTTTGCTTTCCACTATAGAGTTTCAACGGTTAGAATTTCACTTTCACACAAATAGCTTTGTTAACCAGAGCTGATTATGTGACACAGAACAGTTTTGTACAGTGACACAGTACAAAAAGATTAAACCTAATTTTCTCTATATAGTGTTATAATTTTGATTGATCGAGATTGATTTTATTCAATACACTGGATAAAAAAAGTTTGAACCATCCAAATATGGTGGAAAAGTTTCAGAACTATTAAAAGTGGTCTGAATTCAACATTAGTTTTGCATTTAAAAATAGCTTAATAAAAAAAATAGGGATACAGTTAAAAAAAATTATCTATTGACAAGTGTGTAAAGCTAATTCATAAAATATGCTATAAAATTAGCATACGCTATAAATTTTAAATTTGCTATAAAAATAAAATTGTTTTTTTATGGCATAAATTTTAAACTTGAGTCTGATGGCAGATGATAAATTTATCTAATTGCGTGATTTATTTATCATAAATATAATTTATTAAAAAAAAGCTTACAAATTTGTTATTTGTCCGGGCTAATTTTATTTCGGAGATACATTTGGGAACCTGAAGGTCTCACATGCATGATATAAATTTATTTTAATATTCTTTTAATATATAGGAGTAACTTTTATCATAATATTGGATTATCATTAATTATTTTAACTTATAATTTGATATAATTCCTTTTAGATATTTGCAACCTCCTGCTCAATGGGTTTCTTGTGCTTTAGAATCAAGAGAACTCCTTGCCTTTTGTTTGAAGAAGTTGAAAGGATTAAATCAGGTTGGTACATGGAATATTTTTATGGAACATAGAACAATGTTAAATTTTATACCATAACTTTGATTAGGAATTGAAATGGTCCTTTTGATTAAATATTTTTTATATTCCTCGCAGTATATTTATATATTTAATTATATTTTTTGTTCAATTCAAATGTAACTACTCTTTATATTACCTTGAATTTAAAATATTTCCCTAAGGTAAATTTTAGAAATTGAATTTTGTTTGGAGTAGTATATGCTTTTAAAAACAAATCCCATACATTTGAATTAATTTATTTTGACTATAACTTTGAGATAAATGCCAACTAAATAAATAAAAATACTGAAGTATGTATGAAATACTCTTTTATATACTTACATATGTTTATAAATCTACATGCATTTATATTTATGAAATATGTATTTATAAGTATAAAAAAAGAATGGGAAAAATGTCTTGCCAGAAAAGTTTGTGTTAGTAAAGTCAATGTATTGTCTTCATTTAGACCAAGACATTTTTTTCTACCTTATGCATTATTATGGATGAAAATTAAAGAAAAATCATTTAATTAACTACATATAATTTACTCTTTTTTTGTCTAATTACAGTTTTTATTGTTTTTTTTAAAGAAATAATAAAGCAAATATTTTGCAAACAGAATAAAAAACTAGTGCTAATCAGTTGTAAAGGATTCTAATTAGCTTTAAGTTGGTTGTTCTTGCTTTTATCTGATTGTTACAAATTCAGATGTAGTTCCCTCCATTGGGATGTGAATTCGTTTAGAATTTTATTTTGCTAAGTTTAAGATTAGAAAATTATTTTATTTCAAACTTTTTCATGTTGTAGTTATAAGTATGCAAAGTTAATGCTAGAAGTTATTTTTGGAGAAATTATTTGATATAGATTTTTCTAGTGTTCATGAACTAAAGCAGACATTTTTAAAACAAATATATTTTTTATTGAAGTTTTGTCAGAACTTAAAAACATGACCTCTTGTTTATCTAACTTTTTATATATCTGTTTAATTATTTGTATGCATTGATGAATAAAGTTCTTTTAATTCTAATTTATCAAAAAATTAATACTTTACCTTTTCTGACACCAGAAAAGATATTTTTTTAAAACTACAGAAATTCTATAGTGGTTAAAGGGTATACTGTAGACATTACCAATTAATCTCTAGTTGTGTTACACATTATGAATCTTAAATATATGGATAATTGTCAAACTATTGTGAAGTAGCCACTTTTAAATAAGTATTCTTTTATTTCTTTAGGTTCATTTAGTAGATGCTACGTTTATTTGGACAGAACCACATTCCAGAAGAATCAAAGTAAAGCTAACTATACAAAAGGAAGTGTTTGGAGGAGCCATTTTGCAACAAGTTTTTGTTGTAGAATACGTTGTGAGTACTAATATGTGCAGTGACTGTCATAAAAGTGAAACCCATAATGTTTGGAGAGCAGTCGTGCAATTGAGGCAAAGGGTAAGATAATTTAACTATTTATTTTAAATTTCATTGCTTATGACTGTTTTTGTGAGACATGAAACAATTCTTTTTAGTGAATAATGTGCTGTTTTGAAATTGTTTAGCAGTTATTTGTGGATTTTTTTTCTATCTTGAATCAACTATATGCTAATTAAAAAATGGAAATATGAAGGAAAGCCACAGTTATGAGAAAATTAAAGACAGTTATGTTCTAATTTTTTTAATATTTAAAAAATTATTCCAATGCTACATTGTTTTGGCTCATAAAAACCTTTGAAATTGAGAATTTTTAATTGATTTTAATCACTGAAAAGTTTCTTTTGCTAAGTTAACAGTTTTATAAAACGTTTGATAATTTTTAAAATAAAGTGAAAAGTTCTCCATTTTAAAATCATGACAGTTCTTTTCAACAATATAGTATATATAATATGCTGTAAATATGAGGGTGTTTCGAAAAGTAAAGATATACCGTACGCCAGAGGAAAAGAAAAGTTTTGTCAAGCAAGTTGGCAACACAGGTTTTAACCTTGAACCGTTAGCTTTCTCCTCGCGGTGGTTCGGCATTTCAACGTTGATTCTGGTTGAAGTAGGTCATGTTTAAATTGGCTGCGACGATTCAGAATCCCGCCAAATGCGAAGTGCGCTCCGTCATACGTTTTCTTCATGCTAAAGGTCAGAGACCAGCGGATATTCACAAAGAAATTATTTCTGTTTATGGGAACATTATGAATAGACAAAATGTAACAAAGTGGTGTCGTCATTTCTCTGAAGGTAGGACCGATATTCATGACGAACAAAGAACAGGTCGGCCATCTGTGATCTGTGATGTCCTTCTTCAGAGAACAGAGGAAGCAATTCGTGCCAATAGACGTCTAGATCATACCGGAAGTGTCAATGACAACTCTTTATGAAGTTGTGACTGTCAAGTTACGGTACAGGAAATTGTGTGCGCGCTGGGTTCCAAAAATGTTAACAGTAGAACACAAAAAGAAAAGGATGGGCTTTGCACTCGACTTCCTCACACGCTATGCAGAAGCAGGTGATGTGTTCCTTGATCACATTGTGACAGGTGACGAGACGTGGGTTTATCACCATACACCTGAATCCAAGCAACAATCAATGTAATGGCGCCATTCGAATTCACCCAAAGCCAAGAAATTCAAAACTTCGATTTCAGCGAAAGAATCGTGGCTTCTGTTTTTTGGGACAGACAAGGCATTCTTTTGTTGGAATTTATGCCTCCAGGAACGATAATTAATGCTGCTGCATATTGCCAGACTTTGAAACATCTTCGAAGGGCAACTAAAAACAAACGCAGGGGAATGCTGACAAATGGAGTCCGCTTGCTTCATGACAACGCTCAGCCTCACACAGTGCTCGTAACCAAAGCACTACTCAAACAATTCAAATGGCAAGTATTGGACCATCCACCATACAGCCCGGACCTTGCGCCAATCGACTTTAATTTATTCCTTTACCTGAAGTCACATCTTGGTGGAAAATCGTTCCACGACGATGATGAGATCAAAGATGAAGTTGAAATGTGGTTCCGACAATAGGCGGCAACCTTCTATGACTGTGGGATACAAAAGCTTGTGCACCGACTTAACAAATGTTTGGATAACGGGGGTGATTATGTCGAAAAGTAATAAATAATCGAGTTAATAAGATGTAACTGACGTTTTCTAAATAAATGTTTTTTTTTTAAGGATTTCGATCCATTGTGTCTTTACTTTTCGAAACGCCCTCGTATATAAAATCCAGCATTCTAAAGAATCAGAAGGCATTGTATAGAATGCTCAAAATTGATTGACGAAGTACAAACAGACCATGAACTATTGAATGAACAAATTGGCAAAGTATAAAATGATTAATATTGCATACTTTGTCAAAGTATTCTGTAAAGTGTTTTATGAAAACATTACAGGCATTCCATAGAGACATTTGGCAAAGTATAATATGAATATAATATTTCATACTTTGCCCAGACAGTGTGCGTAATTTTTTAAATTGATCATTTGTCCTTGAATTTTCTTAAAGTTTTAACAGCTTTGTGAATACAATTAAGTTTCTGGAAAAAATATTTTTTAACTTCCTTGTACAGTATCTTTTACTAATTACTGACATGTGGCTATTTTATATAATTGGCGTAGTAATGCATATGTAATAGGTGTTTCTTTGGTATTATGTTTTTGGTTGTATATTTTGTTTTTAAATTTAGTGGGCCTGAAAATGACCTTTATTTGTATTTAGTGGGTCTAAAAGTTTTTTTTTCCTTCTTCTTTTTTATACCCTCTGCAAAGGATAAAAATTGCGATGGCGTGTCTTCGGATCATCCTCAAGGAGGTTTCTGGAAATCCTAGACCGTCGCCAAAAGCCCATTGTGCAGCTCTAGTGTGACATAAATAAAGTACCTACCTTTTTTTCCCCACAAAATTGGTAATTTGCACATATGAAATGTTTGGGAACCGCTGGGCCTAGATAGCCTATACAATGACTAGGCATTGTAGTTTTATTTAATTATTTATTTTCTTCAGCTTAAGATTTTACTAGAATGCCCCTTTATTAATTTTTATTCAAAGCTGATTGCATTTTTTTTTTTTTGCAGGTACAACATAAGAGAACATTCTTTTACTTGGAACAATTGATTTTGAAATATCAAATGCATTCGAATTGTCTGAATATTAAAACATGCAATGGTACTGATTAGTTTTTCAGTAGTTTTTTTTCTTCCATTTTGCATACTTATTTTAATAACCTATTTTTATTTTTACCTTTGACTTTTCAGATGGTTTAGATTTTTTCTTTGGAAAGAAAGATGATGCTCGAAAAATGGTAGATTTCTTTTCTGCTGTTGTGCCGTGCAAGTATGTTAAAATCATGACTATGGTCTATTTTTACAGTTCATGGTTATTATTTTCTATTTAAGATTTTTGAAGAAACAAATTCTTTTTGCATATATCTTCTCTGATTATGTATTAAAATTAAATTATTTGATTTTTTTTGTCATAACCAAGAAAAGTTAACAATTTAAAAAAAAAGTTGCATTTGTGAAATTAATAATCTGATTCATTCATTAGAATAATGATGTGACTGTAGTACTTTCAAAATTCCAGTAAATTAAATCTTTAAAAAATATGTAAATAAATAAGAGGCTTGCAAATTTTAAAATTGTTATCCTATGATGTATTAGTTAAGCCCAACATAGGAGGATAGATGATACTTCGGCCCACGTTGATTAAAGAAAAAGCAATGTGAATTAAGCAAACATAAAAAAAAACAGAAATGGACATACTAGAGTTTCAGTACTATAAACAAGAACCTTTCTCAGTGTGTAAACACCAAGTAGATATTTGTAGTTCTCGTTTATTGAACCAAAACTATAGTATTCCATTTCTGTACTTTTAACTGTGCTATACTCACTTTTTTTTTGTTGCTTTAGTATAGAAAAGTGACTCAGAAGTAAATCTATGATTAATTTCGTTTTCAGAAGATTTTTGAATTGCTGTGTGGCATGGGAAATTTACATTTAATTACAGGGGTATCCCATGGGCTCAAGGTAGCCTTTAATCAATTTTTGAACAACAAATCAGAATGTAATACTTTTTTTTGGTTACCCCAAATCTATGAAGTGACAAATTAAATTAACAATAACAGTAAGAAGGTAAATCAATGAGCTTCATAGTGGTCTTAATTCCAGGTAGGCTTTGGCCTTCTCTACAACATTTCTCCAGGTTGTCTTTCAGGAAAGACAATTCCTAGATTCTATTATCTTCCTGGATTCATCTTCCTAGATTTCTTAAAATTTTAATGCTAGTTTTTAAAAAATACATTTGTTTTAAATTGTTTTGCTACAATTGTTTTTTATTACAACCATATTTACAGCTTAAAGATCTTAATCACTAGGCTTGTAATAGTTGTTTTTAATATTTAAGTTTTCTGTATAAATTTTAGTTCCTAATAAATTAAAATACCCATTTCTCTTTTTTTTGCAACGTAAGTATTTTTGCAGCAAATATCTCATTTTTTCAACGAAACTTTCTTTATACTTATTGTAAGTTTATTATTTTTTTTTGGTCTTTCACTTCTTTAATACTTTTCTTAAATTTTTATTCATTATTTGATATTTTATATTGTTTTCCTGGATCTATTGTTTGCAATAAATGGTCCCATGAAAAATGATAAATCGAAGTTCTACACTTCTTGTATTATAAAATCTAAATATTCAACTTTTGTCTAGTTATATTTTAATTGCTTGTGAAATGTACTTTTTGACTTTTCTTTATTAAAAAATAAGTTTCGTTGCTGATTGATTAAAAAAATATATTCTGGTGTAATATTGCTGTGTGGTCTGGAATGTTCGCCTACATTCCCTTTAAAAAATATTTTCATTCTTGAAATTTAGTGGCAACCCAGTAATAAAATTATTTCAATAAAAAATAACAATTTGTTATTTTTACAACGTTTCACTATAACAGATATATCAATCATGTGCTGCAATAGCGGCATAACTAAAAAAAAAATCAAGTTTTGAGATAAGTGGGTTTAAAGTTTTCATTGCTAAGAAAATGCATAAGAAATGCTTTAGTTTGTGTAAACGAAGATTACCTTCAAATTGAATTATGAGTTGTGCTAGTATTGCTGCTGAAAGAATGCATATTTTCGTATTTACAACTGTTCTTAGTCCAAAACGCGTGTTTTTTTAGTTGTGCCACTATTGCAGCCCATGAGCGATATGTTGGGAAGAAAAAAAAATTGTAAATGATCTGATCTATCAGAAGTTAAAAGGTTCCATAAAAGTGCATAATTTCATGATTGCTTTATATCAGTTTATTTCTTATGAGAGTGCTTATAAAATTTAGAATCAAACTATAGAGTGTAAGAGTTTGCCAAAACTTTTAAAAATAAGTTGAGTAAAATTGAGGATTTTCTTGTTTTTTAAATTTTTTTTTAATTATTATTATTAGTTAATTATTTTATTCCTCAATCTTATTAATCTTATTTTACTTTTCTTTTTAAGGTATTCTACATCTCAGCAGTTGATATCTCATGATGTTCATAGTAACACATTTGATTATAAATATACATTCTCAGTAGAGATAGTGCCTGTTTGTAAGGTATTTCCTTTATTTTTGTGCCAGTTAATATTTTAATGGTAATGGGTTGAGAAAACATTAGTTTTAATATATCTCTTACTTTTCAGAATGATGTTGTTTGTTTGCCACTGTCATTAGCTCGCTCTTTTGGAAATATTGGCCAAATTAGCATTTGCCACCGAGTTACAAATTCTGTTTATTTAATTGACCCTTGTACATTGCAAAGTAAGTACTGTAAATTTAAATTTGTAATATTGTTGTATTATATCTCAATATCAGGTTATCCGCACACCTCGAAAGTCATGAATTTCGATATTGAACAAAATTTGTCATGAAATGTCATGATTTTATCTATTTTTTAAAGAAAATCGTGGAAAGTTATGGATTTAGGTTGCTGAAAAATTTAATTTTTAAAATGGAATTTAAAAATACTCCCCCTATTTCATGGTGCTCCGAATATCTGAATTTGTAATAAAATCTCCACTCGCAGTCATATTTTATAAAAATATAAAAAGTTTTTATCATGTTCTTTAAAAATTCTGGTATTCTGAAAGAAAAAACATCATTTCTAGAGCAAATTATCTTTTGAACTTCTGTGATTTTAGAATTTTTAGTTATTATTTATTTATTTATTTATTTTTTTTTCAATTTAAAATTCTACCTGATGCAAGCCAGTAATTGGCGAATTTTTTTATTCCGAAATGATAACAAAAAAATCAGGAGCATTTCTTTCCTTTCGGATGAACAAGAAAAGTATCTGTAGAATATAATTCTGCAGGAAAAAAATTATTTGCTTTTGTATTGGTAGCTATTTTATTGCTTCAACTCTTTCTTTATTCTGTTTTCTTTTTTTTAAAATTTAAAATCTTTAAATATGAAGATTGAGAGTATAACAGTTTAGGTTATACCTATTATTTCCATTTCTGTTATTAGAATGGTTTTTTAAATTTCTTGTTGTGTTTTTGTTGAAGAAAGTAGTAACTTCGTTAAGTCATGAAAAATTCTAGGAATTAGTCATGGAAAGTCATGAATTTGAAAATATAAAATGTAACAGATACCCTGTTTATTTCTTTAAATAATTATTATTTAAAATTTAGAATTACAAATTATGCTCATTAATGAGTTAAAAATTCTGTTTTTTTTTTTTAAATTGACTTTTGTACATTGCAAAGTATGTATTGTAAATTTAAAATTGTTATATTGTAGTAATATATTTCAATATTCTTTCTTACTTCTTATTTTATTTTTTCTTTAAATAATAATTATTAACGATTTATATGAGGGATAAAAGGTGATAACCTTTTTCATGTAAAAATTCCACTTCCATGCTATAAATAATTATATCTAACATGTGCTTTCATGCTGCTCAAGTAGTAAGAGAGATGAGTTCACAATACTGGTTCACTTTCATAAGAAGCCATACTCCTGCAGTATCTGTGATATAAAAATCTCTTTACCTTTGAAGTACAAAAATGTTGTTTATCACTTTTTGCTCTTGAAGGCTTATGTAAGGTATATAGAATTATGTTATTAAGCAACACTACATATTTTAATAAAATGTTTAATGAAAAATATTTTTATTATATTAAATTTTAGATTGATTAAAGCTATTATAAAATATTAAAATTGTCTATTCTTTATAACATTTTTACAATTATAATACCATTATAAGTTAAAAGTAAATTGACGTTCTGTATATGGTAAATTACTTTAAATGCATGTATTAGTGTATTAATTTGTGTTGAATTTTAATTTCTACTGAATAATTTATATTTATCATTTATTAATATAATTTTGTTTTTACCACTATATAAATATTGGTCATCAGTATTAAAATTATAGATGCTTATATTGATTTTTTTTTTTACTTTTCATAAATTTCATTGATTTAAAATCATATTTTTGTCAAATTAACACTATGCTTCATTTATTTCAATTTTTTAGAAAAATAAGAGAAAGAGCGGAACTTTTATTTATACTATTATTTACAATACAACTTCTATTTATCTATAAATATTACCAGCTTATAAAAAATTACAAGAATTAGGAATTTAGCTTTAACCCTTAGTTTACAGCGCTTGTGATGAAGCCCGCCATTCTGGTCCAACGGTTATACCAGCCATAAGCAAAAGGTTAAATGTCACGAGTTCATGATCAACCAATTAATAATAAACAATATTCATTATTTTCTAGCTTGTATTCTGAATAGTATTGATATAACTGTAGTATTCGTTTTAAAAATTGTCAATCTATATTTCTTATTGTTTATTTAGTAAAAAGCAGAAATTACATTGCATTTTACAGTACTTATAAAAATTTAATTAAATGTTAATGCTTTGTTTTTAGTTGCGGATATCACAAATCAACAGTTCTGGCGTTCTCCATTTCATCCCATAGGTTCTATGAAACAATTGACAGAATATGTTGTTATGGATATTTCTTTGATTTTAGATTCAGAAAGAAGAACATTTACGGGACAAGGACCCATATCACATAAGGTAGTCTTTGTTTTTGTAATGTTTAAATGTTTCTTAATGCTGTCTTTCTTTGTTGGTTGTCTTTCTATTTGTTCAAAGTTTTAAAGTTTTACAACTTTCTGTTTTACACTTTTTAGCTAAAATTTTGTATATTTATTGGAGAATGCTATTGAGTTTCTTACTGCTTATTGCAATACATATTTATAAAGGATTAATGATAGGTAATTAAACATTGTGTGAGTTTGTTTGTATATTAGTTAAGCATTTTTAGAATATAAACTAATAGCTGGCAAATTATATTTAAAAAAAATTTCCAATGCGATTTTAGAAAAAAAAAATGCATTGTAAGAAAAGAAATGATATAAAATTGATAAATGATATATTATTGAAAATTCTGATTCTAAGCTGTACAAGTTTCCAAGATTCTATATTTATTTGTACTACCTTGCTCTATCAAAAGGGATTTCAACTAAAAGTAATTCTTTACTAAAATAATATTATGCATAACCAGTAATACTTAGTCTGTTCTGTGCTAGATTTTCAATGTCTTTCTTAATTTATTAATTCAAAAATTGCAAATAAGTGACATCTATAATGAATAAGTTGTGTTAATACAGTTGAATTTATTAAATTTTCCTTTTAAAAACTTTTTTTAATTCAATGAATCTTATTATTGAAGAATGGTAAAATAATAACTTCCTTTGTATGTATTTTAAAATTTTGTTTGCTTTTAAAAACTTGTTTTTAAAAAAGAAAGTATTAAATAAAAGAAAAAAATGAAAGAAAGAAATGCTAATTTGATAAGTTTTATTTATGTAAAAATAAATTTTTTAAATTATTAAAGTTAAATATGCATAATATTCACTTTTTTAGCATGTTCTATCAGATGCATGGGTCGTCCGTTCTAGCGAACTTGGTGTTAATGATACTCTTATTCACACCCGTACTCATCTTGGGCACATATTAAAACCTGGTGATTATGTTCTTGGGTATGTATTGAAAGAAATAACATTTAATAAATATTGGATACTTGTCTTAAAAATCACTTTATCAAAGAATTAAAGATACATAGTATTTTCAATTGTTGAAGAATTAAATATGGTCAATATAAACTATATATAATTAAAGTTTATTTCAATTATTCTATGAATTGAATTAAATTAAAAAACTTTTAACATTACTTTGATTTAAAAATATATGTATATATTTTTTTATTACAATGATTGTTTCTCTAAAGTAATGTACTGTATGTATTTCTAATCTATTGTCTACTTAATAGTTGCAGTTACAAAATTTCACATTTTTCAATGTTTTAAATAAAATAAATATTTGCTGATTATATGTTTAAAAAATTTATTTATATTATAATGAAATTGTATCTATTTTTTTAAAATAAAATATTGTATTTTAAATCTTTTATTCCTTCCTTTTATATTGCAATTTGTTGTTAAACTTGAGATATTTTTTGGGGGAAAAAAATTCTTCTTTTCCAAATTTTAAAAAAGAACTTTCATGACTTGAAAAATCAAACAATTTAGCTTTTCTGTTATGAAATATGTTTCAAATTCTGTCATAGAGTCTATACATTTTTTAGAAACATTTATGTATTTCTTGTTAATATTCTATTAAAGAAAATTTCAAATGATTATCTACATTTTTATGTTGAGTTGAATTTTGGTGAAATTTAAATAAGAAAATCTGAAATTTGATAATGTAGCATTATTCTAAATAAGATTTTTTTTTGTATGTTTTTAATTAACAATGATATAATTCAGAACAAATAGTATACATGATGTGAAGCTATTTGAAGATAGGATAATCTATGTACATATAATGAGAGTCGTAATGATGCAGTGGTCAAGGCACTTAATTGTCATTGTAAAGAACTGGAGTTCGGTCCCCAGAAATGGTATGGACATTACCCAGTTTCAGAGCTAATATCTTATTATCTGGGAAGTGTAGCAGTCAGTTCAAAATGATAATCACACTGCCTCCATCATGCTGCTGCCACAAAATTGCAAAACCTTAACCTACGACACTTTTGCTTATAATTGGGTGTTGCTGGAGTGCTTTGCTTTTTTTATATACGAGGGTTGCTATTTATATCTCTGGCCCTGGCAACAGTAAGTGTTGCTAGGCAACCGCAGACGATTTTAATCGAAAGTTTGATATTTTTAAACATAAATTCAGCAGACGATTTGCCATTATAGCTTCATTTGTGTTGTTGACAGTAAATTGAAAAGTTCTTCTCTTTCAAAAAATGGAATTGAATCGTGAACATTTTCGTGCCATTATTTTTCATAACTTTCGACGTGGATTGTCAAGACAAGAGTGCTTCGTTGAACTTAATTCTTTATTCAGCGATAAAGCGCCATCCTACAGCACTGTAAAAAATTGGTATAATGAATTTAATCGTGGTCAGGGTTGCAAAAAACCCGGGTTTTTGTAGAAAAACCCAACCCGGGTGGGTTTTTCTGGGTTTTATTGGGCTTTTCTGGGTTCTATTGGGCTTTCCTTGGTTTTTCATGTTTTTATGGGAGGGTTTTCAAAAGAGAGGGCAGGGATAGGTACCTTAATTTAAAAAAACTTATTTTAATATTAATAATTAAGTTTAATTTATAAATTGGCTTCATATAGATAATTAATACAAATAAATTGATGTGAAAGTCTGAAAAAAGTTTCTTCATATATCATGATACAAAATGTTATATGTACTCACATACGTCACACATTTGAAACTTATTTTAACACAGGATTACTTTTTATTTATATTTTAATCTTAAAAAATGTTAGGGGAAATTTTTTTATTTGCATAGAAAGCGAATCAATGGCCATACAGTCAAATCTAGCCAGCAAGGTGACTCTCCAGTCTCCAACACAATTAGTTTCTTCACTGTAGGTTAATTTTTTTTTAGGCTAGATTACATATATATTTCAATAGAATAGCTCTTTCATATAACAGGGGATGAAAAAAGAAATCAATCTTAGAAAAACCCAGTAAAACCCACTTTAGGGTGGGTTTT